AAAAAAAAAAAATACAATGGAAGTCAATTGAGACCGGAAACTCTATATTTTTCAAGGCTTCTTCTTTTGTGTTTAGCAGAGGAAAAAAATTATACAGGAACAACTTGAGGGTGAGTAAATGATGACATTCAGCCTTATGTTTATCTATAGCCTATAAACCATTCATTTGTGTGGTTGTTATGTCACTATGCACAGGACAAGAACATCAAATAGTCATAAAATACTTAGGCTACTTTACATTAAAGTTAAATGTCGTATGGTCACTGTCTTGTTTACAGTCTGAAATGGCACCACCAGCGTTCAATCACACAGACACAAGCTCAAAGAAAGCAGCAGGTGCTGCTCGTATGCCAATGGCAGCTGCGCAGAGACGAATGGAGGATCTGGAAGGAGAACTGAAGAGAAAGATAAAACTGCTGGAGGAAGAGAGGAAAGCGCTGCAGAAAGAGACACAGAAACATCAAGAGCATATTGACTACGGACTGGACACTGTACACCAGCGGATAAGCAGCCTGGAGAAAGGTGAGGTAGAGGTCGGGTTTACGGCTGGAAGAAATATTGATTAAAAACACCTGTTTTACCAAAAGCTTCTTAAAGGGATATAGTTCAACCAAAAACGACAATTGTGTCAGTGTTTACTCATGCACATGTTTTACGTTTACATTAGTCATTTTGTTCTGTTACAAAACTGTATGACTTTCTTTTTCTTCTCCTGTAGAATATAAAAGAAGATATTTTGAGTGTCGAGTGTATGCTGCAGCGTTTTATTTATTTATCTTTGGTCTGTACAATGGAAGTCAGTGGGCTCCATTGTGGTTTCGATCATAGCATTCTCCAAAATACCTTCTTTACAGTTTTGAAACAACATGAGACTAAGTAAATGATGAGAGAATTTTCATTCTGTGGATGGACAAAGGAATGCGTAATATAAATGAATTATAATAATTCAGAGTTCAAAACAAGTTAAGCTCTATGCTTTACAAGGAGCTTATATTTTTGTTGTTCTGTAAATGTTTACTATTTGAGCTGTTGTCAAATCATTCTTTTAGAAGTGGTACTAGAAGATCAATTTAGTTATGCATTTTCACTGTAAATCCTGTGGAATACTTTTATCACATTTTTGTTTGGTTTTACAATAAGTCAAAATGATTTCTGTGGTAATCGACAGCAGGTCAGAGATGCTGTCCTTGGAGCTTAACTTTTATTGAACCTGGAACATGCTTTTTGAGTCTTATGCAGTGTTGCCTTCTCTGTGCTTAGGTTTAATTAATCAATTTTTTTGTCATTCATTCTCTCTTTGCTTCTCTTTCCTTCTGTTTCTCACATTATTCTCTCAGGTCTCTCTGAGAACAAGTTTCCAGAGGGTTACAGGCTCTCGTTCCCTGTACGCAGCACTTCCATGTATGCCACTGTAAAGCAGGAAATCCCAGCCCTCCACACTCTGACTGCCTGCATGTGGATCAAACCTGCAAAGAGCATCTTGGGAACAGTAGCTTCTTATGCTGTTTCTGACCAGAGCCACGAATTTGTGCTTCAGCAGTTGGTTCATGGACCCATTGAGCTCATCATTAATAATGAGGTAGAGCATCACAAAATCAAATGTGTTGGACAGGGACAGGAATTGTGAAGACATGAATGATTCTGATTCATCTTAACAATTGACTTAATACTTGTAATGAATAAATATTTTGATTAAAGTAATGTTACAGTTCACATAATAACATTCAATAATTTGAATGTTTCGTTTTATCACTACAAAATACTGCTGTCATGTGTTTCTTAATTCTTAAGTCTTAAGTTTTAAGTGTCTGATACTAAAATAACTGATTAATTGGAACTATTCGTTCAAGAATTGCACTTCAGTGATGTGCTGCATGTGTCTGATTCTCTAAAAAGAATCGGCTCATAAGTGTCATTCGTTCAGGAATCGGTCTCTGTCACTGATTGTGAATGTTTCTTATACACTAAAAAGAACTGACTCATGATTTCTTCAGGAATTGGACAATACTGGTTGTGCTGTTTGTGTTAGATACATTAAAAAGAACCGGCTCATAAGAGACTATTTGTTTGAGTGCTGGACTGCACTGGTTGTGCTGTTCCTTTTTGTTTTATTTGCACTAAAACGAATGGGCTCATAAGAGCCATTCACTCAAGATACGGACTACATTGGTTGCACTGTTTCAACAACTAAGTTAATGTACTTATCGAATATCCTCAGGAACCAAACGCAGTCATACTGAACTGGTCGAGCTATAGATGCAGTGTTGTGGCACTGTTGAATCTCTATACTGTAAATTCTTTATTTGATTATGGTGTACTGTCTGTATTTGGCAAAGGAATTCAAAGGAATCCATTAACAAGCTTGATTCGTACATAGAAAAAAAATGGTAAAGCAGCACATTGGAATTAGACCCATAATATTGAGCTTAAAGGCCCAAGAACAATAAGCATCCACACCAGCGGACGGTAATGTTAGCAGCTGTTAACTGTTTAACGCTGCCAGTAAGTTGTATGTTGCTTAAAATTTGAGCACTGTAAAATTGGGTGTATTCTGAATGGCTGTCAATGTTTTTATCATTCATCACTCCAAAATCGTCCTCTGTGGTGTGGATTAATAAACCTCTATAGATATTATAGTTATAGTCCATGGTGTGATCAGTCTTTAAAAGGAAAAGTGAATTTTTAGGATACATTCTATTTGGATTTTTAAGGGATGTTTTTAGCAAAAGATGAACAGATGCTTAGTTTGACCTCTGACTGCTGTTACTGTCTGCTAAAGTGATTGAATTGTTCTGCTCGTGTTCTAGTTGTAATAGTGGACAGCAAAATAATCTGCCAGGCTTTCTTTCTAAAGTGCAGGCTGCTCTTATCCAAGCACATGGATCTCAGGATCAGTCTTTGGATTGTAATTTGAATATTTTTTGATCCCCCATCCTGTAGGTGGCGCCGTTACCTCTGAACTTAACAGTGGGCAGATGGCAGCATATGTGTGTGAGCTGGAACCGGAGAGCTGGAACGTGGCATGCCTACTTAGGGGGCAAACTAAAGCTTGAAGGAAGTGACCTGGCAACCCGTCACAGCATCCGACCGGGAGGAACTCTCATACTTGGCCAAGAACAGGTACGTCAGATTTTGGCCGTTGTAACAGACGGTGGTAGGTCAAGATGAGCAGCATTTGGTATTCACACAGCATGTAAAAGTCACCATCAACACAAACCAAATCCGAAACACACCCTGTTGTTTATCCTTTCCTTTGCCTTTCCCTGCCCTCTTCATCCCTCTCTCGTGAAACTCCAGCTGGTCCTTTCATTAGACCCAGTAGAGCTTAAAGTTATCCTCTGGTCCATGTTTTTTTTATGTAGTCTGAGGTTATGCTTTTAAGCTGTGGACTGACTATGATAAACAAAATAATCTAAGTAAAATTATCTATAAGTTTCCAGAGATGTATCATTTTGTAAATCACTGGCTTTTTCTGGGACCACTGTTTTTTTTTAATTTTTTTATCAGAATCGAAAGACATTTCAGGACAAATGCTGCATCACATTTTTAAGAAGCAAATATTTTTGTATCACTGGAGCTAAAATGAAAAGTTTCCATTATTTCAGAAATGGTCAAATTAAGTTTTGTTGTTTTTATCATTGTTTGAAGTTTAAATGCTGTTTTGGACAATCATTTTTGTGGCACAATATTCATTTTACACAAACACTGATATATATATATATATATATATATATATATATATATATATATATATATATATATATATATATATATAAAATAAAGTGTTTTAAAGTTATGCTTCTCAGAAAGTCAATATATGGATGTAATTAAATTCCAACTACAAAGTCATCAGTTTTTGCTTGTTACTTATGTGTTGTCTTTAAAATAGTGTTTAAATAGCTTTCATGCATAATAAGCTACACTATATACCAGATGTTTATGTATTTATTGTTTCTGAAGTATAGAGCAGAGTTGCAGCACATAATTATTTAATTGGGATAATCATCATAAAGGCTGGTAATACAGTAAATAAATAAATAA